GTTCAAGACCAGCCTGGGCAATATAGCGAGACCCCGTCCCTACAAAAAAGTCACCCAAAAAATTACCTGTGACCCCCAAATCAATACCTGCAGAGTTTTCCTGGTCATTCACAGATTTGTACGGAGTGCCGAAAAATTCGTCTCCGTGCACATGTTCCTGGCTGAGGTTGAACACGGCGGCACCGTGGCCCTTTGTTTCAGCCTCATGCGGTCAACCAGTGTCCTTTCTGAGGTCTGTTTAGTGCCAGGATTTTTGCATTTTGTTTTGTGATTTTGCTTTTTTTTTTTTTTGACGAGTCTCACTCTGTCACCCAGGCTGGAGTATAGTGGCGTGATCTCAGCTCACTGCAACCTCCACTTCCTGGGTTCAAGCGATTCTCCTGTCTCAGCTTCCTGAGAATCTGCGATTACAGGTGCCTGCCACCAAGCCCAGCTAATTTTTGTATTTTTAGTACAGACAGGGTTTCACCATTATGGCCAGGCTTGTGATCTGCCCGTCTCGGCCTCTGAAAGTGTTGGGATTACAGGCGTGAGCTGCTGCGGCCGGCCAGATTTTGCTTTTTAAAATATCCCCAAGCCCAACACTGAAGAGCTGTGTGCTTGGGGGCATTTTTAAGGAAGTGAATTAAGCATTTCAGTTAAAATACAGAAAGTGTCCAAACAGATTAAACACTTTATCTAATTATATGCTGTCTATAAGAGACACTTTAGATTCAAAGACACAAATAGGTTGAAAGTAAAGATTTCTAAAAATATGCCAGACAAATGGAAACCCAAAGACAGTTTTGGTTACTGTTTGGCGACTCTTCAGCTCTGTGCTTGGGGGGATTTTAAACAGCAAAATCACGAACAAAACACACAGACCTACAGAAAGTAAGGCAGCTGCAGCATGTCTCACAGAGGAAACACGTGCTAGAGAAGCTTCTGCTGGGCCCAGCTACAGGGCTGTTGGCCGTGAGCTCAGCGATTGCAAATCAACATTTATAGATTCAGTAAAGCATCTTTACCCAGAAACACTCACAAGACAGAGGATGCATTGCCGGGGTGAGGAGAACATCCAGACCAGAGGCTCACAGGACCCTCACCCTGTGTTTCCCTGGGAGCCATGGTCCCATAGCCCAGGCGTCACTGATTCAGTGCTCACTGTAGCTTTAGAGAACACCCCTACCTCGAGAATCTACCGCTCTGAACGCAACGATCGCTAGAACTCAGCTCAGCAGAAGGGGAGGTGTGTTTTGTGCAGACACGATGCACGTGGACAGTGCTGGGAATCAGGGAGAGGACAGGGGTTTGTCTTGGGTTTCCTTCTGGTCTTTCAACCTCCACAGGCAGCGTGTCCCTCAGCGCAGTGGCTGTCACCCCCCGGTCACCCCCGCCTGCCACCTGTGCACTGTGGCTTTTAGGTGGCATCTTCGGCACAAGTTCCAGGAGGAGCCCAAGTCCAGGGCAAAAGGGTCCTGTTTCCCCAGAATCCAGGTGAGTGGGGCAGGGCTCTGGCAGGGCTCTGGCCTCAGCCTGTGTTTAATGTTTAATTGTTTACTTGTTTATTTGTTTGTCTCTACCCAAGACAATCTCAGCTCCGCAAGAGCAGAGACTTCACTGGGCACAGCATTAGGAGACAGGACTGCACCAGGGTGGATCAATGAGTGAGGACGTCTGCGCAGTGGGCTCCGGGCCAGGGAGCCGGAGTCAAGGCTCCGAAGACAGCCCGCCTTGAGATGCGGCGGGGAGCAGTCCTGAGAGGGGCTGGGAGAGTCCTTGCCAGATGGATGTGATGGGAGAGACCTCACCACCCACTACTGCCTTTGAAGGTGGAGGACAGGCCGGCCACGAGCCAAGGAATGCAGGCACCTTGAGACGCCAAAGGCAGGAAACAGATTAGCCTGAGCCTGCGGGTGGAGCCAGCCCTGCCAGGGTGTCGCTGCAAGTTGAGTGGGATCCATTTCAGAACTGCGGCCTCCAGAACTGCGAGAGAAGGCTTGTGTGTTGCCTGAAGCCACCAAGTTTGTGATTGGTGCATCAGCCCCAAGACACCCATACGACACCTGAACTCCGGGTTTGAAAAGGTCCCTAGGGCCCCAGAGCCCCCCCTGCCCACTCGTCGAGGCCTTCCTACTTCTGTTGTGCAGACTCAGACGCCGGCTCGCTCAGAAGACCCCTGCAGGCCCGGCCAACCCTGTGGCAGGAGCCTCGACGTCCCACGGAGGCCTCTGAGCCGCCAGGCCCTATAGCATGTGGTGAGGGGTGCGGAGGTGTGAGTGCCTGGACCCCCTGCCCGAGTCTGAAGGACCTTGCCCATCCTCGGTGCCCAGAGCTGTGTAGTCCAGCCCCAGGAGGCAGCCTTGGCCACCTCCCTGCCTGCAGTCCCCGCTGTTTGACTGATCATGTGTAGGCCCAGCTGTGAGGGAGGACAGCACGCTCCTCCCTCCCTGCTAAATGTCAGGGGCACTAAAAACACCACCGTCAATGTTCTGATGTTTAAATCATGCTTTGACGCACTGTTTAAAAAAATGAAAATGGGCTGGGTGCTGTGGCTCACACCTGTAATCCCCGCTTTTTCGGAAGCTGAGGCGGGTAGATCACCTGAGGTTGGGAGTTTGAGACCAGCCTGACCAACATGGTGAAACCCTGTTTCTGCTAAAAATACAAAATTAGCCAGGCGTAGTGGTGGCACATGCCTATAATCCCAGCTACTCTGGAGGCTGAGGCAGGAGAATCACTTGAACCTGGGAGGTGGAGGTTGCAGTGAGCTGAGATCACACCGCTGCACTGCAGCCTGAGCAACAGAGCAAGACTCCATCTCAAAAACAAATAAATAGATAAAATAAATAAGTAAATCAAAATGAATGCAAAATATTTGTGGTGAGCAAACTGTCAACATTTTACACATGTCGGCAGGATGAGGAGGATGAGCAGGATGAGGAGGATGAGGAGGATGAGCAGGATGAGGAGGATGAGGAGGATGAGGACGATGAGGAGGATGAGCAGGATGAGGAGGATGAGCAGGATGAGGAGGATGAGGAGGATGAGCAGGATGAGGAGGATGAGCAGGATGAGGAGGATGAGCAGGATGAGCAGGATGAGGAGGATGAGCAGGATGAGGAGGATGAGCAGGATGAGCAGGATGAGGAGGATGAGCAGGATGAGCAGGATGAGGACGATGAGGAGGATGAGCAGGATGAGGAGGATGAGGAGGATGAGCAGGATGAGGACGATGAGGAGGATGAGCAGGATGAGGAGGATTAGCAGGATGAGGAGGATTAGCAGGATGAGGAGGATGAGCAGGATGAGGAGGATGAGGAGGATGAGCAGGATGAGGAGGATGAGCAGGATGAGGATGAGGAGGATGAGGAGGATGAGCAGGATGAGGAGGATGAGCAGGATGAGGAGGATTAGCAGGATGAGGAGGCCCCCCCAGAGAACAGCTCCTCTGAAATCATAACCTTGCAGGGCAAAAGTCATTTCAAGATTTTTGGGGCATGGAGCACCCGTTGGACCCCCCTTCAGCCCTGATCCCACCTGGGACGTGTCAGGTCTGACCCTCATACACTGGGCATCTGGCTTGTGGCTCCTGAGCCCACAGGCTGGGGATGAATTCGCAGAGCCCGCAGGCGTGCCCTGGGTATGTGCTCACTCCACGAGTCTGTTAGAGGCTGAGTAGGAACTGGGAGGCCCGAAGAGGACGAAGTGACTCCTCACAGCCTGGACCGTGCACTGGAAAAACTGGCCTGGGCGGGGGGCACGGCTCCCAGGCTGGGGGGAGGATGTGGGGAAGGACCATGCTCCCAGGCCCAATTTACTCCAAAATATCAAAAGACTTACAGCCAGGAGTACTACAGGCGCAGCGGCTCACGCCTATAATCCTAGCATGTTGAGAGGCCAAGGCAGGTGGATCACCTGAGGGCAGGAGTTCGAGATCAGCCTGGCCAACACGGTGAAACCCTGCCTCTACTAAAACAGGAGGCTGAGGCAGGAGACTCACTTGAACCCAGGATGTCGAGGCTGCAGCTAGCCCAGATCATGCCACCGCACTCCAGCCTGGGCAACAGAGAGGTACTCCCTCTCAAAAGAACAAACAAACCGGAAAACTGGGAGTGCCTGGATGCTTAGTGGTAGCTGGACAAGGGCCATGGGTTGAGCAGCAGATCATCACCAGGCCTCATGGACAGCAGGATCATGTGGGTGGCGGGACCACGTGGGTGGCGGGGACGTGTGGGCAGACATGTCACCACCCTGACAGGAGCTGCCCAGCTCAACACCCACTGCAGGTCATGGCACGGAGGCTTGCGGTGTTACAGGGGATGATGCCCACGGGGCTGGACGTCCAGGGTGGGCTGCAGAGGGAAGCCCGCCACATGTTGCTGTCACCTCCACACGCCCAGCCAGTCTTCCTGTGGGAGACACACAGACCCTGGGGGACGAGCAGGAACGCAACGGGGCTCCCCCAGGCACCAGAATTGTGGGTGCCTTTCAGCTTCTCTTTCTTTCTGTCTTTCCCAGGAGTTTGACAAAGATGCACCCTTTTTGTAAGGGGTGGGCGTGGTGTAGGTTCACAGAGGCACTCTGCTTTCAACACCAGTGTACGCCGCCCAGGCGCCATGAGCCTCAGGACGACCAGTGTCACTGCTGCGTCTAACGAGGGCATGGGCTCTCCTCCTCCCATGAGGACCACCCAGGCGGGACGAGGCATGCAGAGAGCTAGCATGGCCCCTGGCACGTAGATGCTGCCCAGTAACTGGGAGATGAGAGGCTCCATTGTCGCCCCAGGCGAGTGTGGGGCACGCACCTCCTCCTTGGGTTGTGTGCCCTCCCGGGAGCCCCAGGGTACCCAGGCAGGCCTCAGCTGAGTCCAGGCCTCGGGAACCGTCCACGCAGCCCCTCCCAGGGCTGGGGGCAGGCACTTGGCCCAGCCACGTTTCTGCTGACTGGGCAGCCTTCCTCATGAGCTCATGCCTTTCCAGAGAAATCCCTTAATGCCTCCATTCTGCCGGGGGCATATATAGGGAGGGCTCACCCCAGCTCTGCAGTGCCCTGCCCAGAGGCCCCCTGACTCCTGCCAGCCTCCAGGTCCCCGTGGAACCAAAGCTGAACATGGATGTGACTATCCAGCACCCCTGGTTCAAGCGCACTCTGGGGCCCTTCTACCCCAGCCGGCTGTTCGACCAGTTTTTCGGCGAGGGCCTTTTTGAGTATGACCTGCTGCCCTTCCTGTCCTCCACCATCAGCCCTTACTACCGCCAATCCCTCTTCCGCAGCGTGCTGGACTCCGGCATCTCCGAGGTAAGACACAGCCGGCAGTGCTGGCTTTTCCTCACTGCTCACAGGGTGGTGGCCTCGAGGGATGGAGCGTGATGGACTCTGGTCTTGCTCTGCCAAGCAAGTGGCCTCGCCCCATGTCGTCCCTTTGCCAAGGACAGGTGGAAGCCTGTGTCCCCACTGTGGCCACGCGGCAGAGCCTCCCATAGCATCGGGAGAGGCCGGACAAGGGGGCGGCCTGAGGCCACCCTTGTTTTCCTCCGTCAGCTCATGATCCACGTGGGGTTTGTAAGGCACTAGACACATACTGGAAACCCCAAGAGCAGCCCATCCAGGTGAGGGTGGTGGCGAACACCAGCTCCCGGGTTCCTCTGGTCTCCTGAGTCCCGGAGGCCTGGGAGCAGGTTGGGGGCCACAGTCCTGAAAACCACAGAGCAGGGGGTCCCCAGCACCACCTCCAATGAGCTCGGCCTGCCCACAGCCAGCAAAGCTCTTGCCAAGTTTACTCAGGTGCCCTGCCAAGGTCAAAAGGAGAGGCAATAGGACCCCCCAAGCCTCCTCTCTGAGCCACGGGTGAGCAGTGTGGGTCTGTAGTTTTGAGGGCCTGAGTCTCACTCAGCATCTAATAAACAGGGTCCTCCCCAGGACCGCTGTGATAGCCATCAATGCCAGGATGCAAAATGCCTCAGGGAGCCGAGGCCCAGCCAGGGCAGTGAGGGGTGTGTGGACGTGCTTGGAGAGGAAGCTGCGCCGGCTGTCAGTGGGCTCCGGCCCACCAAGGGTCACAGCCCACCAAGGGCGGTGACCTCATTCCACAGGCTGAGCCCAGCCAGCCAGCCAGGATTCTCCAGCCAGACGACTGACTCTAATGGGCCAACCCAACCCATCATGACTTCCCCCCACACACTGTGACTAGTAGCAGCCAGCCAACCTGTCTATAACCAGCCAAACCAGCAGCCTCTCAGCTGGCCCTGAGGGTTTGGAGATAGGTCGAGGTCGTGCCCGTCCATCCAGGAGACAGTCACAGGCCCCGTCCCACTTGGCATGTGGAAGGAGAGGCCTGCATGGGACCGAAGCGTCTCTGTCCTGATTACGGGGACCTGCTCTGTCTCCGGCGGCCCCAGCAGGGAGGCGCCGTGGGGATGGCTCCACACAGCCTGTTTGGGTTTCAGGTTCGATCCGACCGGGACAAGTTCGTCATCTTCCTGGATGTGAAGCACTTCTCCCCGGAGGACCTCACCGTGAAGGTGCAGGAGGACTTCGTGGAGATCCACGGGAAGCACAACGAGCGCCAGGTGAGCCCAGGTGCTGACGGGTGGGAGGGGGGCGAGGTAGGCGCGGCGGGCAAGGGGGTCACGGTGGGCACTACGGGGCCTGCATATCTGCACCTTCAACCCTGGGAGAGGGATGCTTTCAGGGACCCCTGAATCAAGCCTGGCTTTTCCCTTAGGGAGGGGCCATGCCCACCTGAGCACAGCCAGCCCCTCCCAGCGCCTGAGGTCACCATTCCCGGAGCAAATGTGGCTCAGGGACCCAGGTTAGGGTCCCTTCCTGGGTTGCTGCACCCAGCGTCGCCAGCTCCATCCTTGTCACCTGGATGCCAGGTGGTCTTAGAAAGGAACCTGCCTGAGGGAGGCCAGCCCCCGACGGCACAGCTGCATCTGCTCGGAACGCTTTACGTGCACTGATTGACACCCTGGCCTCACAGCAGCCCTTTGAGACCTGTATCCTCCTTATGCCAGGGCACAGCTGGGGAACGAGGGGGTCCTCAGCCTGCCGGGTCCCTCAGCTAGTACCGGCAGGTGGGCCGGGAGCTTCTCCCTGCAGTCACCCTGATGCCCCGCTCTTGCTCGGGTGGAGGCCCTGGGTTTCCGTGGTTTTCAGGGAGACCAGGCACAGGAGCCCTGGTGACCTGCCTCTCCTGGCCAAGCCGGGAAGAGCTCGTGGGCTGTCACAGATGGACAGTGTCCCGCGGGGCCTGGAGAACAGAGAGGGGCCGGAAGGTAGGATGTTAGCCAATGTCTTTGTTTCTTTTGGCCGCGGTCTTCTTTCAATGGTTGGAGAAGGCAGTGCTGGGGGGTGAACCCTGACCTCCTCATGCACCGTCCCTCCCTCACCTGGGCCCGGTAAAGCCCCCACTCAGGCTTTCACCAGCACAGCCTGGAAAAGGCATCCTGAGCTCCCAGCTCTTGGTCTTTGCAGCCAGTGGAGGAGGCGTTCAGGCCAGGGAGCTGGGTCTGTGGCTTAGGCGTCCAGCGGACACGTTAGGTTGGGCCTCAGAGACCTGGGCTGGAGCAGTCCTGAGAGTCCTGGGAGGCGAAGCCTGGCTGAGGTGCAGGGCCTAGGACAGAATGATCCTGCGTTTTTGGAGTGAAGCCATGGAGCGTGAAGAGACAACCCACGCAGGGAATAGCCCGCAAGTGGCCGTGAAGCCAGGGGAGCAGGGGCGGGTGCAAATCCACACATCCCAGGGGGCCTGGCCACGGGAGGCTCTGGCTGCACCGGCCCCTGTGAGAGCCCCCGCAGGCTGGCCACCTTCTGCGGTTGGTGGGGCTGGGGGCAGCATCTCCGGCATGGGGCATGGCAGCAACTGGCGCAGCGGCCCCTCTGACTGTGCCCCCCACCCCCCCGCCCCCAGGACGACCACGGCTACATTTCCCGTGAGTTCCACCGCCGCTACCGCCTGCCGTCCAACGTAGACCAGTCGGCCCTGTCCTGCACCCTGTCCGCCGACGGCATGCTGACCTTCACTGGCCCCAAGATCCAGACTGGCCTGGACGCCACCCACGGCGAGCGAGCCATCCCCGTGTCGCGGGAGGAGAAGCCCAGCTCTGCTCCCTCGTCCTAAGCAGGCATCTCCTGGGCCGGCTCCCCCGCAGCCCCCCCCCCGTGGTCGGGGGAGCACCCTAAGGGCGGGGTGTCTGTCTTCCTTTCTTCCCCGTTTCTCCTTTACACCTTCTCAGATGGAATGAGGGTTTGAGAGAGCAGCCTGGAGAGCTCAGGGTCTCAGGGTGTTCCAGACCCCTCCACCGGCCAGTGGCGGAAGTGACCGCACCTCACACTCCTTTAGATAACAGCCTGGAGGAGGGGGTGACCTCCGGCCAGGTGCTCCCACCATGAGGCAGCTTCCCTTCGCCGCGGGCTCTGCCCACACCTCCCCGGGCTTCCCTTCTGTGTGCCTGCCCTCTCGCAGCCTCTTCTCTCAGATTGTCTCCCTCCAGCCCCTCTGTGTAGTGCCTGCTGCTCTTGGGTACGTGGGTTGCCCATGAGAGTACAGCCCACGGCAGTCAATAAAGAGCAGGTGACACAAGCAACCCGCTGTCTGCTGCTGCTGTCTCCTTGGGGGCGTGAGGGGAGGGAGGGAGGACAGCGGGATCACCTGCTCCCGTTGGACCCGGTGGCCTTCGAGTGATGAGTGACAGTGTCGCCTGTGTCCCTTCCTTCTCCCGAGCTCAAGTGCCTCCCTCCACACTGAGCAGGAGAGGGCTTTGGGGGCAGAGCCTCTGACGGGAAAGGGACTGGGGAGAACTTCTGAGAGCTGGGGGCAGGAAGGGACCTGGAAGGGGCCGGAGGGGATGGAAGGAGGCTGGGCTCCCTTCTCTGGCCACACTGGCATCAGGCAGAATGCCAGCACTGGCTTCCTTCTGTGGGGCCGTCCTGTTCTCTCTGGGGTCTGCCGGACCATCCTGCTGCCTTCGGGGTTGCGCTTTAAGGGCACTCATGCTCTTGCCCCGGGCAACCCGTCGCAGCCCTGAGCTGCAGGTGACCATCTTGCTCTGTCCCCTCCCGGGACCGGACACTGGGCCCTGGGTGTCCTGGCAGCAGCTTCACCAGACCCTGCCTTGGGGAGGGAGACCCAGCCTGGAGGGCCCTGACCACCTGGTGTGCTCACTGAGAGGGGGGCCAGAGGGGACCTGAGGGGAAGCAGACACCACGCGGTGGGGGAGGAAGGAAGGGGTGGGCCCTGCCAGCCCCTCAGCCAAGTACAGCGCCCTCCACCCAGGAGGCCAGAGGCACGGTGCCCTGAGGCGCCGGCAGGACGGCAATGGGGTGCAGCCTCCCCCCAGGAGAAACCAACACGGGCTTCAAAGAGTCAGCAACGGGCGGGCGTTAGCATGGGCTCCCACCGAGACGCCCAGTGATAGACAGCACGTGCCACAGCCAGCGAACAACACACATAACACAACACAGACTCCACAACTCCACACCATCCACACACTCCACACACACACACACACACAACACAGACTCCACAACTCCACACCATCCACACACTCCACACACACACACACACACAACACAGACTCCACAACTCCACACCATCCACACACTCCACACACACACACACACAACAGACTCCACAAGTCCACACCATCCACACACTCCACACACACACACAACAAGACTCTACAACTCCACACCATCCACACACTACACACACACACACATAACATAGACTCCACAACTCCACACCATCCACACACTCCACACACACACACATAACACAACACAGACTCCACAACTCCACACCATCCACACACTCCACACACACACACACACACACAACACAGACTCCACAACTCCACACCATCCACACACACACACACACACACAACAGACTCCACAACTCCACACCACACACTCCATACACACACACACACACAAAACACAGACTCCACAACTCCAGACAGTCCATACACTCCACACACACACACAACACAGACTCCACAACTCCACACCATCCACACACTCTACCCACGCACACAACACAGACTCCACAACTCCACACAATCCACACGCTCTACACACTCAACACAGACTCCACAGCTCCACGCAATTCACACACTCCACACACACACAACACAGATTCCACAACACACACACACAATGCACCACAGACTTCACAGCTCCACACAATCCACACACACTACACATACACACACACACCACAGACTCCACAACTCCACACAATTCACTCACTCTACACACACATCACAGACTCCATACATACACCACACAGTCTGCACACTATGCACACTCCACACACACCACAGACTCAACACACACACACACCACACACCACAGACTCCACACACACACCACACAGACCACACACAACACACTGTGAACACACACCACACACCACATGCATGCACACCACACACCACTCACTTCACATGCACTCCACAACATACCACACTTCACACACCACACTCACACACATCACACACCACATGCATGCACACCACACACCACTCACTTCACACATACCATAGACAACACACACACATACCCCTCAACACACCATGCACTCTGTGTATCTGTGTTCCTCCGGCCAGTCCATCTTGTGAAGAAGGGTCCTCAGTCCTGGGAGGGGCTGCCCTCAACTCTCCTCCTCATCCCTTCAGAGGGACCTGAGGGCCGTTCTGCCATTGTGTCCCCCATTGTATAGGAGGGGGTGCCCTGTGGTTGGCAACAACAATGGCCCACAGTGCTTTGGGGCTGGGGCTGGATGTGTTGAAAATCGTGCTGTCTGGGGCTCCCTGCTCCTCCTGAGTCTGTCCCAGACCAATTGAGCAGACACAGTCTGGGGGCCACTGCAGGGAGGCGGGCCCACCCCCAACGTCTGGTGTGGCACTGGTCCTGCCGCACTGGCTGCAGAGAACGGAGCTGTCGCTCACGCCTGTGCTCTTGCTGGACTGCAGGTCCTGCCTGGACCTTGTGAGGGCGAAGGGTGACTCTCTGAAAATGATACGGGGTCCCACCCCCAGGACCTCAGCATGGGACTGTGTTTGGAGGTGGGGGCTTCGATGGCATTACATTGAAGTGACGTCACTGGGGTGGGCCCTGGCCCAATCTGGCCAGTATCCTTGTAAGAAGAGGAGATGAGGACAGACACACACAGGGACAACCCCAGGAGGGCGCAGGGAGGAGACGCCGTGCGCAAGCCAAGGAGAGAGGCCCCAGAGGAACCAGCCCTGCGCCCCGTGAGCTTGCACTTTGGTCTCCAGGATCCCGGAGAGGCCGTGTCTGCTGCTGAAGCCGCGGAGCTGCTGCATTCGGCCCCGAAGACGTAGCCTTTGGCTGGGCCTCGGCAGGGTCTGCGAGGCCCGTGGGTGCTCACCAGGTTCTCTTCCAGGCTCATTGCAGAGTCGCATGGAGCACCAGGGCCAGCCTGGGCCCAAGTCTCCCCTGGCTGGCAGGCCGTCTGATCTCTTCTGTTCCCCCACCGGGTCTTCCAGCAGCGCAGGCTCCAGAGGGACTTGGAAGAGGTGGGGGGGCTCTCATCTCCTCTGGCCTCTGAGACCGGCAGTGTGGCCCCCCTCTCCAGCTACACTTCCTTGGCTCTCCAATCACACCCTGCCAGGGCAGTTCTTAAGCTCAGGGGCACGGAAGGCTGGGGCCTGGGGCTGCTTCGCCTCTGGCTCCATGAGGCTGTCCACAGCCCGTCTCCTCGCCTTGCACCCACAGCCCTGCCTCCTCGCCTCGTGCCATAGGGCCAATTTTGGAGCAGCCCTCCTTGCAACTGCCAACCAGTGATTTCACTGTCATCATGGCTCCTGCCAGGTCAAGGTCACACAGACTCCCTGCAGGCACCAAGCTCACTTGGCAGCAGCCTCGTCACCTCCTTGTCCGGACAAGACAGGCTCGGGGGGCTCATGTGAGGCCCCAGACAGCCGACGGCAAGGCCTGGAGACCTGGCTCCTGCCTGAAGCCATCTCAATGGGCCCAGGCTCAGGAGCTGCCCGTGCTGGGGCCTGGGGCTGCTTTGCACCTGAGACCCCTTCAGATTCAGCAAGTCTGCCAGATGCCCCCACCACCCATCCCCAGGGGAGGAGGCCACACGGATATGAACTGGAATGCAGGGTGCAGCTCTGGCCACGGTGTCTGGCCACTTCCTGGAGTCTCAGCACCTGCCAAGTCTCCCTGATGGCGGCTCCCACCCCACACGGGCCCCGTGGACTGCTGTTGGGAGAGCTTCTGAGGCCAGGACGATGCCTGCTCCCCCCACCTCCTTTCCAAGCTCACCTCCGCCTACCCGGTGCCCAGCCTCCTCTGTTGGCACTGCTGCCAGCTCCCTGCCCTCCAGGCCTCCCTCCCCCTCACCAGGCCCTCAGAGGGCGTCTCCCCCACTTCCCATTGTGTGGCCTGGCATCTGAGGCTCCTCTGGTCTGACGGCCCCACTGCTCCCTGGTATGCATTCAGGCTGAAGGGGCACACCCCAGAGAGCCCGCGTGCCAGCATCCAGCCCCATCCACTCCAGGGCACATGGCCACATGGAAAGATGGGATTGGCCAAGACTTCCCAAGCCTGCCAGGCTGGGAGAACCACCACAGCACTTTGCAAATACAGATTCCCTGACCCCGCTCACACCGGAGGACTTAGATTATGGAGGGCAGAGTCCAGTGAGATGGGCTGTGGCTGCCTCCGGGTGAGCCCTGCAATGAGGCGCACGTGGGAGATGCTGCAGGACAGCGGTGCCTCCTCAGGTGCGGGCAGCGGGGAGAGGTCACTGGAAGCTGCCTCTCCAGGCTTAGGGGCTTGGCTTCTAGATCTCCAGAGGGCTCTCCCTTGTCCCACCGCACGCGACACTTGGCCGTAGCTATGTGGCTCTGGAGTGAAAATGATCCACGCTCTCCTCTGCTCCTGTTTTCGCCTCGGGCATCACCGTCCTCAGAATCGTCATCACCACCATGAGAAGCTTCAGGAAAAGCATGAATGGAGCACCTGCTGCATGCCAGGCCCTGTGCCCGCTGCACTGGCAACGGCGATTCTCACGTAGCCTGCAGCAGCCTGTAGCCTGTTTCTATTGTTAGCTGAGGACACCCAGGTTTGGAAATGGAGTCAGCTGCCCTGTGACCCCCAGCTGGGGAGAGCTCGGGCCACGCGTGGTCTGTTTGGCCCCAAAGCCAGGACTCAGCGCCGCCGGGTGGATGATTACTGCAATGTCACAAGTAAGTGAAAGTTGGGAGGCGCTGAGGAAGCCTGAGGCACTGGTCCCTTTCTGCTGGTGACCTGCTGGGTGACTGCGGGCAGATCCATCGACCCCTCTGAGTATTCGATGTCCTTCTTTGCCAGTCGGCTGAAGCTGGGGACCGAGTGCCGCCGGGAGCCTGGAGCCCCCAGCTCCTTCCAATCATCACCAGCGTGCCTAACACTCGCCACCAGGTGGCAGCAGAGGACTTGCCTGGCCGCGGAGACCTTGGCCACAGGAGACTTGTGAACAGCAGCCTTAAAGGTCACCTTCATTCAAGACAGCGGGAAGCAGCTGCAGCCAACATCCTCAGAGGACCTGGTTCCGTGGGCCTCAGGG